TGAACAGACTTGATGTGACCCTTCAAAGTAAAGCCGACATACTAACAGCGAGGAAGGAAGTAGCTAGGTTCTGAAGGGAAACTGATGTTAACTGCATCTGAAAGGCATCTGACAGGTGTCCAGCTTCATAAAGAAAACGTGTTGTCAAAACCATCACTCATAAAACCTCTTAAAACTACACATTTAAACTTGGGAAAATGAAATCCAAAGTAAGTTCCAGGAGGTACGGAGCCCATTTGTTAATGACGGCAAAAAAAAGTAACATTTCTAATTACTCAACAAGAAGTTATTACCATTGGGAAAGATGGAAATTTATTATAAAGATTATACAACAAACACTTTTGCAAAATCCATGGAAGTAACTGAAGCTTTTTTCAAGTTTAGCCATTTGGATCCACAAATCTTAATGAAGTAGCTTTTCAGCTACAACAGCCATTAAAACCAAGCATTAGACTAAACTTACCTTGTGACCAGAACTGAGTTGTTTTTATGGTGTTAAAACCAGGAGGTCCAAAAATCACAAAGCATTTTTAATAATACGCCTCTCACTAAAGGAAACTTTTCAGAAAGAAAAAAAGGAGTGCTTTTTACCACAAAAAATACTTTTAAATTTTCTGTCTTCTGCCTATGTATGTTAGTTTAGTAGCACAGATTCAAATTTAAACATTTAAAAATATATATGTATACACACACACACACACACACCCCACATATGCTGCAGGGGGCACGTTCTGTGGAATCCAAAGTTAGGTGCCTTGGTCAGACATGGTTTTCTGTTCCTTGCCAATGCCTATATTCTTATAACAAACCTCTTCAGCCCAAGAAAAGCACACTGTCTCCTGGTTTTCACAATATGTTCTTTGATGTTTTAGTCCATCTGAAGTTTCTTTTGGTGCAAGGTATGATAGGAATCAATTTAATTTTCTCCAATGATACTAGCACCTTTCCCTGAATAATCCATCATGACCAGAGTGAATTCAAAAGCCACTTTTAATGCATTCTAAATTCTTAAAAGTATTTGAATTCATTTCTATTTTTAAACTATCTTCCATTAAAGTTGTCTAAGTTCACACCAGAGTAACAAAACAAGTTTTAACTGCCCTTCAAAAATGTGATTTTTTTTTGATAGAGCGAGTTCTACACTTTCCTTTCAAAGACTTTATTTTTATACTTCCTATGAGTTTTAGAATTATACTAAAACAGTCTTTGGACTTGTACTCAGAGGACAGGCACGTTTACTGTGATCACACCGTTCTTGTCATCAAGTATGTGTGAGGCCCTGTGCTGCTCTCTCGGCCCCCCCAAAGGAAATGATGGCCTCAGTGTTGTGTTCGAGAGTCTCTTCTCTTCGTGGTTTGACCAGCACACATGGAGTCTTGCCTTGTTTCTCAACTTTACAGAGATTGGCTTGTTTTTTTCTTTTTCTTTTTTTTTTTTTAAAGATTTATTTTATTTATTTGAAAGACGGAGTTAGAGAGGTAGAGACAGAGAGAGAGAGAGAGAGAGAGAGAGAGACCTTCCATCTGCTGGTTCACTCCCCAGATGGCCGCAACACCCAGAGCTGCACCGATCTGAAGCCAGGAACTTCTTCTAGGTCTCCCATGCACTTGGTGCAAGAGCCCAAGCACTTGGGCCATCTTCTACTACTTTCTTTTTTTGGACAGGCAGAGTAGACAGTGAGAGAGAGAGAGACAGAGAGAAAGGTCTTCCTTCCGTTGGTTCACCCTCCAATGGCCACTGCGGCCGGCACAATGTGCTGATCCGAAGCCAGGAGCCAGGTGCTTCCTCCTGGTCTCCCATCCGGGCGCAGGGCCCAAGCACTTGGGTCATCCTCCACTGCACTCCTGGGCCACAGCAGAGAGCTGCACTGGAAGAGGAGCAACCGGGACAGAATCCGGCGCCCCAACCAGGACTAGAACCTGGTGTGCCAGCGCCGCAGGCAGAGGATTAGCCTAGTGAGCCGCGGTGCCAGCCCATCTTCTACTACTTTCCCTAGGCCACAGCAGAGAGCTGGATAGGAAGAGGAACAGCTGGGACTCGAACCGGCGCCCACATGGGATGCCGGTGCTTCAGGCCAGGGCTTTAATCTGCTGTGCCACAGTGCCAGCCCCATGAGATTGGCTTGTTTTTCAATTATTCTGAGATTCGTCCACGCTGCCGCCCACAGCTGTATGATGCCTTGACTGCCCTATGGGATTCCTCTGCACAGAATCCTCGTGAACTCACTGTACTAGAGCCAGGCATTTGGCTCCCTGGCAAGGTCCCTTCTTTTTGTTTATCACAGATAATGCTGCTACAAAAATTCCTGCACACGATTCCTACTACAAATACACACAAGTATTTTCTAAGTATAGACAGTGGGCTCTAAAAAATGCCTGCATTCGGGGCCAGTGCTGTGGTGTAGTGGGTAAAGACACTGGCTGCAATGCTGGCATCCCATATGGGCGCTGGTTCGAAACCCGGCTGCTCCACTTCCAATCTCACTCTTCTATGGCCTGGGAAAGCAGAAGATGGCCCAAGTCCTTGGGCCCCTGCACCCACATGGGAGACCCAGAAGAAACTCCTGGCTCCTGGCTTTTGATCAGCACAGCTCCAGCCGTTGCGGCCAATTGGGGAATGAACCATTGGATGAAAGACCTCTCTCCCTCCCTCCCCCCACCCCGCCTCTCCTCTCTCTGTGTAACTCTGACATTAAAAAAAAAAAAAAAGATTTTATTTATTTATTTGAAAGAATGTTAGCCACAACATCCTCTCCATTTATTTAGGTCTATAAAGTTTTGGTTTTTTAAACTGTCTATTTATTAAAGGCTAAAACTTTTTATTAAGATTTATTCTAATATACTTTGCTTCCTTTTCCTACTGTAAATGATATTTCTTATTAAATTTTAAACTCATTACTGCTTGTAGCTGGCACATGAGAGTGAAGCTGACATTTGCACAATGACTTTTGTCCCAGCAACTTTGATAAACTACATTTTCTAATTTGCCTTATACATTCTTTAGCTTTACAGATAATCTGAAAATTTCATCTGTTAACATGAGTCATATTATTGATTTTCTATTAATAGACAAACCTAGCATTCCTATAATAAATCTGATTTGGCCATCATCTTCTAATTTCAAATACATTGTTAGACTTGGTTTGCAAATAATGCTTGTTTCCCTACTGAAAGGTACAAGGTGTTATCTTTGTATACACTCCACACATGTACTATATCCACCAGACTAAACTGATTAACCGTACTACTTCAATCTATGTCCCCAATAGTTTTAATAATTTGATCTTCAGCCTGATCTATTAATTATAGACAGGTATACTGAAAATGCTCATAATATTGATTATATATGTATATATAGTCATTCTGTCCTTCCTTTATTTATATATACTGAGGTATATTATTAGACACTCAGGGGCAGTACTTGGAACTGTTACAACCTTCTGGTTCTCTATCATGAGTAACTGGGGGAAGGAGGGCTTAACATTAATACAGGGAAACACTGGGAGACATTAAAAAAAGCTACTCAAGACACACAGCTACTTCAGCTGAGACAAACCTCTACTCTCAGGTTTCATGTGTGACACTCCTACCTGTTTTAGAATTTGGGTTACTAAGAGAAAGGACAGTAGATGGAACAAATGCACACAAACACACACAGAGTGGTTTTAGCAAAGTGTTCTATGCACAGTGAAAAACAGAAAAGATTTGCTAAAAGATGGGACAGTGTTTAAACAGCACCCTTCCTGGCTGGGGGCAAAAAGAGAAGGTGATTTAAATGCAAAGCAAAAGAAAAGACAAAGTCTCTGCTTGGTGCTGTCTGTGGCCACCAAAATGGAGACATTATCACAACAGAGCATTTAGGTTAAAAAAAAAAAAAAAAGGGGGGGGGGGGTGGTTGGTGGTGAGAGTTGGCATTCAGAGACCGCTCTAGGAAAGGACACATCTAAAGAGACAGCAGAGAAAATAAAATTGTCAAATAAGGTTTTTAAAAACGAGGGTATATTACTAATTTCACAGCAAGAAAACACAAAGAGTTACAGAAAAGGCACAGTACAATCAATGCAAAAACCCCACATTAGACAGTTTTGACTAAAGGACTATTAAAAAATTATACTAGTTTAAGAAGAGAAATTACATATTTGAATATCTATGTATATACACTGTGTGTGTCAATAGGCTACGTAACTCCATATATGGCTACACACACACAGCCTGCTTTCATCACTCCAGAGGTCAAGATGGACGCAGCCTGACCGACTGCGGCGACAGCCGTGCCGAGTGTGGCTATCATTAGGAAACATCCCAAATATATCCAATGTTCTGTATTCTAACAAAGTTCCAGTGAACCATGGATCAAGGCCAGGGACAAGACTTACAACATAACAAGGCCAAGGACATCCAGACAAGATTTACTTCCTTACCCCCAATGTTTCAGACTGATAGTACATCCTAATACAGAAGGAGTGATTGAAAATCTACCAAGAGCCAGAGGTCAGAGCCAAAGCCAGTGGCTTGTACCACAGGTCAGTGAGAGTTTCATCCACCATTTTGTTTCCTTCTTGTCTGAGTGAAGAGCTGATGTTGAGAACACCCTGTTCTGAGCTCCCCAGGCCTTGTGACACACACACCCCGGGATCAGACTTCACTGCTTCGCCTTGTTCTGGCTGTGCTGATGGGTGGCAAAGCCTCTTGCCTGCATTTGATCTCCAGATCATTCAAAAGCATTCCCACTTCTAGCTGTAGCTCCCTACAACTGCACATTAAATTACTTCTCCTCAAGGGCATGGTTGTCATATTGACAAATGGGACTACTGAGAGAAGTTTACTGCCCTCTGTAAAAAAAAAATCTCCAGGCTCCTGGCCACTGTGGCCATTTGGGGAGTGAGCCAGCAGATGGAAGACCTCTCTCTCTCTCTCTGCCTTTCAAACAAATACATACATCTTTGGAAAAGAAAAAAACAAACAAGCAAACAAACAAGAAAACACCCTCCAAAGAGAATATACCCACAGTCTTATTGTATTTAGTACATAGTCACAACATGGAAATGACATGTGAGAATCAATAAAAAATATTTATTTTTTTCCAAACCACAGAATTCTTAACCCCAGAGCCACACTATAAATTTTCCAGAAGTAAGCCATTAACATGTTTCTAAACAATGCAAGTCCAACCAGTAATGAAGATAACTTCCAACCAGCAGGGAAGGTTGTAGGAATGGAGTCTGGTGAGCTCTCCCGAGGCCACTCCGTCCACATAAGCAGAAATGGTGGATGCACCTGGGCCACTCAGCTCTGCAAAGGGGTCCTGACAGGCCTCTCTCGGCTAGTGGAGGAGGGAAGGTGTCGGTGGCTGTGATGAACACTGGGGACAGAAGAGGAATCACTTCCCTTGGAAACAAACAGGGCTCCTTTCACAAACTCTAGTGGCCAGAAACGAAGGCAAATCTCAACAGGAAATTTAACAGGAAAGCATTTCTGCACCAGCTCTCATGACCTCATTCTAACCTCTGAGAAAAGGCAACTTCATCTCCTGCAAGTTCACTGAAAACCGTAATCACAACCAGAAAGGTCCTATAAATCTCTCAGAGGTGTCAGTCAAGGACTCACATCTAACCTTGAATTCTGATGTCCCCTTAAGAGGCCTAGACTTGGATTAAAACAAAAATTCCTAAAAAGCTCAATGAGACACCATTTAAAAAATCACATCAAACACCCAGAACAATGAGTGGATAGCTAACATAGGTTTTTTTGTTTTGCTTTTTAGTTATAAAGTTTTTTAATTTCTCAGATTAGTGTATATTCATAAAACAATACTCCATTACTTTAATAATAGCTGATTAAGCATTTAGCTCAAGGGCAATGCCTCCTGCATAATAATCATAAAAATAATTAACTGCCATGGTGGCGGGGGGAGGGGAAGAAGAAAGAATAAGAAAATACAGTCAGCCTCAATAATAAAACAAAATCTGGAAGGGTGGTCGTTTACAGGGAGATTACACAGAATTATTTAAATACTATGCTACAAGTGCTCCTGCTCACTCCATAATTGCAGAAACCAATTTTGCTTGCCAGATCACCATTACCTCTGCTAGTAGGTGTACAGACCACAGCTCTGCAGTCATCCTTTTGTGCTGAAAAACCTTCAGATCCCTTGTTTGGTCAGTACAAATACTGCAAGGTGATCCAAGTGCAAACTCTTCCTGAGGAACTACTTATGTGTGCAAATCTGCAACTGGAAAGAAAGCCTGGTGTGCCGCAAGGGGAGGAACAGGTGTGACCACTGGCAACGCGAGGCAGTGTTCATGGCCACAGACATCATTCTCCTGCAATCTCATCTGCCCACAAATTAATATTCGTCCTAGACCCCCATGAAGGGAGTGTAACCGCTGCAAACTTTAAAAGGGACGGAAATAAATTTGCCACAAAATAGTGCACAACACATGAATCCAGGCTTGTGTTTGTTACCATTAACCCTGCCTGTGAACTGTCAGGCTAAGAGTCCCAACAGGTTTTGCTTCCAGTAATTCCTGTCGGGTTGGGTACAGCTGTGACAGCAGAGGCCATGAGATGACACCACGGCTGAAGCTTAAGGCCAACCTTTAAAATTCATACCATCTCTCAAACAAGCATTCCATGTGTCATTATTTCATGATGATTGACCTGGTTTTCTTCTGAACAGTTCAGTTTCAGGTTGCACATACACAGATCAGTCAGTTTAGCCAAATCAATTACATGTGTCAACTAACCAATCCACTTGCATGCACAATTTTTTGGCTTCAATAATCTAGACCTTCAATGATTGCATACAGAAGACAGCATCTAACGGGAATGGGTAACTGCCTACCGTGCTGGCAACAAGAACACAAGTCAACACGGGAAGACAACACCTCTGGCAAACAGTGCTTCGTCAATGCAACTGGGGACGCAATTTCATCTCTTCGTGTTATAAACTAAGAATTTTACCAAGAAACCCAATAAATAAGCAAGGTCATTTTAAATTTAAAATAATTTTTTTTAAAAAATGGGCTCTTTATACTGTCAAGTACCTCGTGGGGTCAAGGTGTGTAACAAGCAAGACACAGTGCGGGGAGAGGTGCCTTTTCCAACCACAGCTTTGTGGGACCAAGCCACAGCTCTTCTCATAGCCACTGTACAAACACTTAGAAAAGTTAAATTTCGCAAACCGTACATTGTCTACTTTTTGTTAATACAAACAATAAAAAGAACATATTTCTCTATTCACTTGATGCAAAAACATCCAAAGATTTTAATGCCAGTTCATATAATACAATGCCTTATAGGGAAAGTTCTTCTGTTATTGGCCAAAAAAAAAAAAAAAAAAAGAATGCTCTCTCCCAGAAAAAAGCATTTGGGTATGAACATACTGAAGGATTCATCTACACTTAAAGAAACATTCCCACTTTACTTCTTTCAGAACAATATTCACTCAGGAGAGAATTCAGTTCGGGTGTTATTTCTAAGTCTGCAGCAAGCCTTCCATTGAGAAAGTAAAATTTGGACTTCATGATAAAATGAAACTCCTCCTCCACACTAGGATGTTACTGGTGCAGCAAATCAGGCTGAACAGGTGACAGTGAGAACCTGTCTGTGTTCTCCAAGTAGTTCAGTGTCCATCAAAACAACCCAGGATGCTCACATACTTGAGTACAATTCAAGTCTTCCACAAACTCCACCAGCTCTGGTTGTAAGCACGTACATCGGACAACCTTCACTGTGGCTTCTCTGTGTGGTAGTTTCACAAATCAAGGTTTTCTATTATTAGAGGACCCATTTCTTTTCAATATCCCAGTTCTAATTCTCTCACTGCGCCACCTCCCAAAGAACACCAAGCTGAGTGGACAGAGGCAGGTCTGTGAACAACCCACAGTCTCAAGTGTTGACAGTGCCCCCGGTTACACCCACCCTCGTCCCAAGCTCCCTCAAGAGGTCAATATTACTAGCCTGATGTAGCCCACAGGAGTGAAGCCCGTGTTCAACCGAGATTCAAAAACACTGAGAACAGCATCTTCCTCCCTTTCCACGTCTTTCTATTTTCCTTTGTCTTTCAAAAACCACTAGAACAGCCCCAGAGACTTTTGGGAAGACTGGACTAGCACTGAGTGTGGGGAACAGAGGACAGCTTTGCCACAGCTGGAAGGCGGCCCTGAAACAGCAGTGCTGCTTCTTCCCTGTTAGACTCAACACAACACATGAAAGACGCAGGCCGCAGACTCTTTAGTACTTACGTCACCCATTTAAAACACAAATGAGCAGGAGCCCCACACCACTGGTTATATTTGGATTTGGTAACTACTTCTGCTTCCCACAGATCACAGGAAATGGCTCTGATGGTTGGATAATTCTCAACAATATTAAGAGGGGAGCTTTCATGAAGCCCCGTCCCCCCAGACTAGGGTACGGCCAACGCCACAGCAGCAGCGAATGAAATCCTGCTAAGTGACAGAGGGAAAGGAAATGCTCTATAAGAGTTGGTCCCCACAGCAACACAAGCATGTCCTGGCGAAGCACTGGGAAGCCTGACCGCTGCGGAACACCCCTCCATCCTCCCACTGAAGGAGCATCTTGCCACAGTCTCACTTGACGAGTCGGTGGGTTTGTCTGGGACACCAGAACTTCTCCAGGAAGCGTGACAACATGGTCACGCAGTTGCAAAGTGCACAAAGCTCAAGGCACAGAGTAGGCAAAAACTGTGACCTGATGGGGGGGAGCAGAGTTAGCATTTTCCTCTTACGAGACTTTCTAATGCTAAACAAAGACCAACTCTTTTAAAGGCAGTTGTTTTGGTTATGGGTGAAAAATACTGTATTGTAATGACCTGTTTGGTTTTAAAGCAAAAGGTATCTTGACATGGGAAATCAATCTGCCGAAATACCAAATCCACACATGAACAAAACAAGTGCTAAAAAAAAAAAAAGAAAAAGAAAAAGATTCTTCCGCTCATATTTTTGGAGGAAGCTACAGAATTTGGCTGTCAGATTTCACTTAGCAAGGGTCACTTTCCAAGATGCTTGCTACTTACAGACTCTGTAGTAAACTCATTAAAAGATTGTCCCATTTCAAAATCACCCCCAAGTCTAGCAGCAAGTGTTTTTATGTTTTTGCTTTTTGTTAGTTTTTTTGTTATTTAAAATTGCAAACCAAAGTAAGAAGTCCAGCATCCTCTTCCAAGAACAGCGTTGTGCCCGAGCTCCGGAGTGTCGCAGGCTCTGCTGTGCTCTGAATACAGTCTCCAGTGTGTCCTCTTTTCAGGAAGGGAAGAACATTCACGCCATCACTATCTGTACCCCCGGGAACTTGCACATGCTGACGAGCTGTCTGAAAAAAACACCACACAGAAGGATGCATGGCAGATGGCACTTGAGAATGGCCGGGGTCTACCTGCTTGGCACTCATTTCTCACCCTTCTCAAGAGCACTTGGAAAAAAAAAATGAACCTCAAAACCATGTGGAAAGGTGTCAGGATTATCGGGAAGTGAGACTGGTCATGACCCTTGTGGGTGAGACTAAAGCACCCGGTGGCCTCTCGGCATCTGCCAGAGAACCAGCGCCACCAACTGGACTGCAGGGCTGTCACAGCTAGAAGGGCGGCCTGGCTGAGCATCACAGTGCCTCTGAGAACGCCACGGGCCCCAGACTCCGCACACGCACCACAGAGCACGGAGCGACGACAGGACGCCATTACTTACTATAGGCCAACTCGTCCCCAGCTCTCTTCCGGGACTGGTCACCTCTAGAAACGAGAAAGGCAGCAGTCACAGAGCTGACAATCTGACTCTTCACGCACCAAAGCAGCAGAGGGAGCTGACAGCACAGACAACAGAAGCGCAGCTGATATTTTAGTTCTAACCCAGCAAACTGTTTTAAAATAGACATTAAACCTAAGCAGAGTCGTGTTAGCTAAATGGTACAGTCTTTCAAATACAGAAAGCTAGTAAATGGGAGAAGGGTCATCTACACCCATGTTTACAATGAGACACAGAACTCGGTTTACACTAATCTCAAAATGACTCTGAGTTCTGCGGTCAGCACTGTGGGGCCCTGCGTAATTCCACAGGAGAAGATAACTTACAAGCTCAGTGAAACCAAAAACTGCTTAAAGTCTTTAAAAAAATCTCAGAACCTTGATGTACCGTAACACTGTTTGTGAGTGGCGGAACATGAACCCTTACATGTATTAACCGAACCAGGAAAGATGGGTCCTGATAAGGTTCTGTACTACCTGTAACTCCTAGTGTAGCCTTTCTGGCTCCTCACCCGGAATCCCATTGCTAATACTCACGCAATGAGCAGCAATGACCAGTTCACAAGCTCTGCCTTCCCGGTCTCTCAGCAGCATGAATGCAGTTGGGCTCTCCCTTTCTGAGCCACTTTTCCTCCGGAGGCTTCTGGGACCTGCCCTCACCTGCTGTCCCATCTCAGCCTTGCATGCTGCTCTGCCCAGCACTCCACCTGGGCCATCTCTTCCTCTCCATACACATTCTTCTCTAGTCTAGGATGGAGGTTGTCACCCTGCGACTTTAAATGCTCTCCCAAGCCTGTGGTTTCCAGGTTGTATTTCCAGCTCTGATTTCTTCCCAGTGCCGCAGATCTGTAGGTCCAACTGCCGCATCATCTCCCCTTGGAAGGTCTAGACACACTGCAAATATTCCATGGCCAGAGAACAACGCCGACGCCACTCCTTCCTTAGTCTTCCATCTCAATAAAGGGCCCCACCACTGACCCAAGGACTCAGGCCAAAATCCAAAGTCATCCTTGATTCCTCTCTTTCCCTCACTCGGGGGCATACTGCCTGCAAACACTTCTCACCAACTCCACTGCTACAAGCCGAATCCTAGCCATTAACATCCCTCCTTGACCCAACTGCACAAGTCTGAGTATTAGTCAAGAGCCTGAGTGATCTTCTACTGTAGCATAAGATCAGTTCACAGCTCCAATTAAAGCCCTGTGTGGCTTCCCCTTACAGTTTCTCCCAGCCCTGGCACATGGCTCTTGCCTCCATCGCCAACCTCATTTCCACCACTCCACCCCTGTGCATAATACAGTAGCCTCCCTAGCTCTCACCTGTCCCTGGACAGGTTGGCACCTTTGAATACTATCTTTGCCTACAACGCCTGCCTCCCCCAGGCAGCCACTTGACCATCTCATCATCTTCTAGGTGCCCTCAACCAGGCTGAAATGACTCCTTCTTAGAAGGCCCATTACCAAGTTAGCCAGGACAGCACTCACTGTGCCCAGGCCACTCACTCTCAATGCCTTTTTGTTTAATTTTCTTAACAGCACTCACTACCAGAAATTATACTTTACTCTTACTATTTATCTCCCAACAACACAATGTAACTTCCATGAAAACAGGAATTTGTTCACCAAGTGCCTCCCACGTTACTAGACACTCAATAAATATTTGGCGAATTAAAAAATTACTGAGGGGCCAGCATTGTGGCACAGTGAGCTTAGCATCCCATCTGGGCACCAGTTCCAGTTCCAGACTTGACTTGTAGCCCATATGGGATGCTGGCGCTGTAGGTGACAGCTTTACCCACTTCTTCACAAGTACCTGAGAGGCTGCCAAAGCTGTTCTGTGATCCTACAAGTACAGAAGGCCAGCCCTCAAAACCAGACCCTGCTACCAAGTGAGAAAGTCCACAGGCGTGTCTTGTTCCTCAGATGTGGGTAACCCCGGCTCAGATGGAGCACTTCATCTCTAACATGGTGAAAGCTACCTGGTCCCCTCCGAAGGGGACCATAAGCTTGTCTTCAGGAGGCCGAGCTGAGGTCCTGAATTTCAGAAGCTCCTTACCGTGATATGATGATATCCAACTGTCACTCTCTTCAATCCATTCAATTTTGCAGGTATGGCTTAGAAGTAAAATGTTGTTTACCTGCTAATTCTAGTTTCAAAATAAGCCTACCCATGCCCAAAGATCACCTTTCAATAAAGCCCCACCCCCTCAAATGAGATCTGCCACCAGCAGCAAGACAGGATGTTCTGACAACACCACCCATTACTTCAGGGACTTACTTTGTGTCACTCACATAAAAGCCACTGTTTGCCTGTTCAGGATCTCTACCTCAGAGAAAAGCCTCCTAAATAAATACGCAGTGTCCAACACTGAACAGGACTTGTGTGGCTGGCGAGGCAGGAACCATGAAATGAGCACACCTATCAGAGCAGTCGGTTAATACCATTCTTATTAAACAGCCTGTGTTTCAGTCTCCAGTTTTTTTTCTTTCCTACCAGTGGACGCCATCCAGCCAAGAAGGGAGGAAGGCCGACAGGGCAGAGGGAGGGAGCCTCAAGCACCAGGGAGGACAGGCAGTTCCACAGCCACCAAGGATGCTGCGCACACATCCCTCTGACTGCGAAGGCTGAGCTCAGCAGTGGGCACAGAACAGCAGTGTTGACATTTTTCTCTGCAAAGCACCTGTCAGAGCAGTTTATGAGGCAGGGTTCAACCCTCACAGTAAATCTATAATAACAATATGATGTAATTATAAAAATCACCCAGTAGGGAGCTTACAAAGTAAAACATTTTATCACCTCTTAGAATACTGCTTAACATTTAAATCTCAGCCAGAAGCTGTGTAACAGAATTCCACTAAGAGCACCAAAACTCAGTTTACACCAAGAAACCCAGGCACTTGTTCAATGCGATCGAGTTGGCCTTGGCTGGCCAACCAGCCAGTGCCCTGTCAGCCCTTCACTACAAAGGCAATGTTGCCTAAGGCTACTCATGGAGTCACTTGCTCACCTCATCCAAAGCAAACCTGACAAAAGAGCTACCACACACCGAGCAGTCCTGTCCCCTGTTCTCTCCCTCCAGTTCCAACAGGATTTGGACAATGTCACTGACTGTGTTCAAACACACTCTGTTCTGAAGGTATACTCAAGATGCCCAGAAAGGCGCAAAGCTACATTCCCACACTGCCTCTCAGAAATATCTATAGTAGACTCAGCTCTAAAATTAAAAGCAAACATTCATATAAAATATCAATAAAAGTATAAAAGACTTCAAAATTATGGCAAGCCTAAAAACATCACTCACTTACTGCTGTGTTTGGATTCTGTACATCCCCCAGAGGCCCATGTGATAAGTCTTATGTTAATGGTACTGAGAGTACGGGAACTTAGCCCAGTGATGGTGTTTGGAGGTGAGCCTTTGGGGGGTAACTGGACTGGACTGGGTCCTTCGGGTGGAGCCCCCTGGAACCCCTGGTGGTTTTCTAGCAGACCACATGGACCCAGACAGATGCATGTGCTCCCTCTCTCTTGCCAAGCAACGCTCTGTCCTGCCTTGGGACTCTGCCAAGAGCAGTGCCATCATCAGGGGCCAACCCAACAAGGGCCTGCCTGATTGTGGACAGAACCAGGGAAGGAAAAAAAGATAGTAAAAACAAATAGGAAATGAACAAAGGACATACACAGGCAGTTTGTCCAAAAAGAAAAGCAAATGGGAAAACACACTCAGCCTCATTCATAAAAAGAGAAATGAAAATTAAACTAATTTGATTATTTTAATATCTGATTGACTGGCAAAAATCCAAGTGCCACAACATTCTGTACAAGCAAGGCCATGAAGAACACACATTTTTAAGCTTTGTTTGTGGATATGCAAAATGCCACAATCCTCCCTGGAGGGTAACTGGGCAATACTGATCAAAATCACAACTACATTTACTCTGGACCCCATCACTCCACCTCTGAGACAGACGTGCAACAATTATGCATATTCAAGGTTATTCACTGTAAGACTGTGTGTAATAGCAAAAGACCAGAAATAATTACTTAATGGTTACTCAAGGGGGTAGAGACAGGGAGACAGGTGGAAACAAAAGTTCTCAATGTGTACTTTTACTTTTATTTTTGAACCATATATTAGTCTTCAAAACTGAATAAGTAAAATTAACACAGCCTCATAAATTGAATGGCCTCATTCTGTATATGAAAAGAATACCCTCTATTTCTACAGGAAAACTAGCTACTTACATTCTATGATTTCCAAGGGGTCCTTCCTCTCCCTAACCACAAGAAAGCAGAAATCCCAGGCCTGCCTACACAGCTTCTCTGAGCCCTTCCAGAAGAGCTATCAGTGGATTATTCAGTGCCCCCACACAAACACAGCTGCCACAACAAAAAAGGAATAAATGCTAATCTTTGGGCCAAGAAAAAACAAACCACCTGCTTCCTTACTGTGCTGAAACTGGAGACTTACTGACCTGAACCTGGTCAAGGCCAGCTTTCCTGAAATTTAATTTGGTTTCAGAAACTTTGAGAGACAAATGTCCATCCCTAGCCCCAGCCAGGCATGTAAGTCAACACTCCCCTACCACATGTGGATACAGGTATACCGAAAACAACCCACGTAGTTTCCTTCCCACAACTTCTCTCCTTGATGCCAAGGACTCAAAAAGGCAAAGATATGTACAAGTGCCAAGAGTCCAGATTCTGAAAATATACAATATTACTGCATCCTTAAAGATCTGGTGATAATAGGTTTTTTCCTACAGAGAATCACAAGAATTTTATATTTATTATAGTTTAAAAAAAACTTATTATATGTTGAACTTTGCAAGATTTTCTGGAATGTGACCATGATAAAAAATTGCAAAAATTAGTAAAATGTGTATAACAAAAGCAAGGGAGCAAAGGAAGAAAATGTTCTAGGTAAGTATGCAGAAAGCAAAAACATGAAACATAGAACTCACAGCCACTCTGCTAGTTTAGCCTGCAAAGCACATCATCGCAGGCCTCGTATGAGAGAACCCACACTGGGGAAGCTCTCAGAGGTCGCCCGCCCTACGTGCTGACCCTGAGAAACCCTTTCTGCAAAACCCAGGGGCTGAAGGGGCGCGTCCAAACACCAAAGCCAGGACAAGGAGCCAGTGAGCTGAGCTCTCCCAGCAGCAGCCGCACAGCCTCCTGGACGACCGCTTTCCATTCCTAGGACTTGGCATCCCTCCCTGTCAGTCAAGTCGCCCTGGGGCAGGGAACGGACGCTTGGTCGCTGAGGAAAAGCCAACTTGCCTTGTAAAACCATTCTGAATGAGTTCTCTTTGCAGCTTCTGGTCTTGAGCAGCATATTCGGAGAGTTCAGATTCCACCGCTGGAGGGAGGATGTTGGGAATAAATTTAGAAAAAAGAGTTGGAGCCATCTGAACCCACTCTGTGAGGGAAGAAAAAGATTCATCAGAGAAACCATGCAAACTAAATGACACACAAAATAGAAGTTTTATTCAAGGAACAAAAATATTTATTAAACCAAATCTATAAAGTGGGGGGAATTAAAGCATTCCAAATCTAGCATAAAACAAGTTATTTTTTCTTTCTGAAAAGAATTTACTGTATAAAGAAAACTGGCTTTTTTACATTTCACTGGTTTAACAGAATAGTGAAAATCTGTAGGAATTTTTCAATCTTGTTGAACATTCTAAATACGGAGGAAAATATGAATGAGATTACCAAAGAGTTCTGAGTAGGAGGGGTCTTGATAAAAAGGGGACTGGTGGAAACACCGGCCCTCTCAGCCATTAATGAAAACATTATAATGGTCCGAAAACAGACCAGAACAGGTAATAAGAAGTATAAAAAAAAAAAGAGGCAACACAAAGAGGTTGGCAGGAAGGGGCTGAACATTTAAGTGGGGTGGAGATAACTGGTTAGTATTTTTTAGAAATAAAAGTTTTGGGGCTGGTGCCAGCACTGCAGGCCCATACAAGTGCCATATGGGTGCCAGTTCTAGTCCCGGATGCTAAACTTCCAATCCAGTTCTCTCTTAATGTTCCTGGAAGAATAGTGGAGGATTGCCCAAGTCCTTGGGTCCCTGCACCCATGTGGGACACCCGGATGAAGCTCCTGGCATCAGCCTGGCCCAGCCTGACCAATGCAGGCAATTTGGGGAGTGAACCATGAGATGGAATACCTCTCTTTCTCTCTCTCTCTCTCTGCCTCTATATCTCTTTTCTGTAACGCTGACTTTTGAATAAATAAATATTTAAAAAATCTTTTCTATGTTAAATTAAATAGATATAACAGTAAAGAGAATTAAGTGGCTATCAAATTATTAAGAGTAAGATGAAGGTAATAATATTTACAAAAGAAATAGGCAAAGAGAAGTCACAGGAAAATATCTGAACCAGATATGACAAAAACAAACTAGCACGTTTATTATACAGAATCTACAATCCAGAAAGTCCAGGTAAATGAGTGATGGACAAGACTGGATAATTCACAAGAAAAAAAGTGAACAGAATTAAGTCACCTTGTTAGTACTCAAGAAAATTCAAACTAAAATAAATGAAAAATATAAACAATGCCCATGTGTGTGGAGAGCAGGATGAAACCAGCACTCCCCTTCCTTGCTGGGGGTCCTCAGCTGGGACTACTGTCCCTTCTGCATTGTTTTAATCTAGCCTTTTCAAGTTTTCTCTCTTGGAAAATATTTGGGCTGCACATAACAAAAACTGTACAAATATAAATATTGTTTATAATTCAGTAAACCCACTGTTTAAAAACAGTGCAATCGAATAAAAATTCAAAATCTGAAAATGCACATTCGATGCTGTGTGATGTTAAGTGATGCTGTGTGTGTAAGTAAAAAAGTGGACATACACAGATGACCACCAAGAGAACAGATTAGAAGCCGGCACCTACACAAGCACGACAGGTGATGCACCGGCCAGTTCCCTCGCTCTGCACAGCTCACAGCAAACCGTTCTCGACACTGTGCCTCCTGACAACTCAGCTCAAGCATGGCTTCACAAAGAACCTCGGTGCCAGGCTGACACCACAGCCCACGGGGCAGGGCTGGCAGAAGTCAAACCTTTCTGTCACCTTATGGGGCTCTACAGCCATTAAAACAAAGGTGAAGAAACAAGGAAACGATGTGTCTTTTACGCATTTCTAACTGAACCACTAAAAACCAGAGAGAAACACACCAAAAATCTGTTTGATGACAAAAACATCATCAAAGTCTCCAAGAGGTAAGGCCCACGAATCTATAATTTAAAAAAACTCTGAGACAATTCAAACGCAGTCACACAAAGACCAGCACTTGAGATCTACTGCAACGGAAGACATTTTTACATTTAAAATTCAACTCTGAAAATATTCCAACCATAATGCGCTAGGTGAATAAAACTGCTTTAATAAACCAGGAACACAGTGGGTACTGACAAGAGACATAAATGTCAAAATATGCTTGAAAGTATCTCTGAAAATGCCTAGGGCAGCAAAAGGTTAGTCTAATCAAATTCACCTTTTCAAAAGGACAATTCTCAACTACAGAATTCTCCTCGCAAGTGGTGTAAATCTTATTACCAGAACTTGAACCAAGGTAAGATAGCATTTAGGTAATAAACACGTATCTATACTTTTTCCTACCCTTGGTGATGTTTTTATTTTGCTATATGATACAGCTGCCTATTTGGGAGTCAGATTTGTCATACTGCATCTGAATGCCTTCCAACATAAAATAACTATTCATAACCTAGCACCAAAAAAAATTAGTCATTTTCATCACAATGTATTAAAGTAAAATTCAAAATTCTAAGAAACTAGTTTATTGGAAACATGCAAAATATTTTTTGCTATTTTATATAATCAATTACCTCACAGAAGAAATTTCTGTTAAAAATGATAAATATATCTCAAGACCTGATCCAAACTTAATTAATAAACTGAATGCTCTAGAAATCACTAGTTCAAAGTAGCCTGACCCAAAAAAGATTTCTCAAATCAGTTTATCCAGGCCGGCGCCACAGCTCACTAGGCTAATCCTCTGCCTGTGGTGCCGGCACCCCGGGTTCTAGTCCCAGAGGCTCCTCTTCCACTCCAGCTCTCTGCTGTGGCCCAGGAGTGCAGTGGAGGATGGCCCAAGTGCTTGGGCTCTGCACCCGCATGGGAGACCAGGAGAAGCACCTGGCTCCTGGCTTCAGATCAGCACAGCGCACTGGCCATGGCAGCCATTTGGGGGGTAAACCAACGGAGGGAAGACCTTTCTCTCTGTCTCTCACTGTCTAACTCTGCCTGTCAAAAAAAAAAAAAAAAAAAAAGTTTACCCAATAAACTGATTTCTATTTTATCAAGTGAACTTTTAACACAATTAAACAACCAATCTATCCATCAATTAATTAAAATAATCATTAAACTCAAATGGATAGTAATAATAGCATTTAATGTTTGCATGCTTATTATGTTATCAAATACTATGGTAAGCTGTTTTCATGTTTTATTTCAATTTAATTCTCATACAAAAAAATTTTGCAAAAAGGTACTTACTGCCAGAAAGCATCTTTCGTGTTTGTAGACTGTAACAATGTTCTACCCTGAGAACTTCTCCAGTCTCTCTCCCATACATTTTTTCAATTAACTAGACAAGTCGGAGGTTCTGGCTTATAACCAGGAAATATACACAAAGGCACTTTGAGATTCCTTTAAATCTATCACAGTTTTTGTTCTAATAGAGAGATATTAAAATAATTTATAAACCATTTCTTTGAATATTGTGATCCATGATTTCTTATTCTGCTCTTGTGATTCTCTCTCCTCAAAACATCCTCATGAAATGACTCAATTTTAGCAACACTTCAGAGTCCCTCCGAGTCATATAATAGGCCTAATGGAGTTGTGAATGCTCATGACTGCACATTTGCAGTGTGGGATAGACAGAGATTATACCAACTACCACATTCAATCTTATACACAGTGTATCCTACAAATTATTTCTTGTATTTCCCTCCCAGGGGCAGCAAAAAACAAACAAACAAAACCAACTAGATGGTTTCACTAACAAAAAAAAGCTCCCAGTGAATTTTCAAATTTTCAGTTTATATTTCTCAATGACGAGTATCTCCTCCATATTTTTTTCTATATCAGGTCGAAATATCATTAGTCTTCACAGAACACACACGAATCACTGCTGCTTCGATACGACTGTCATGTCATAAAACCCACGAGAGATGATGAGTGTTACCTGGTCTCAGCGTATACAGGCCTTTCACAATATTTGCCATGGTTGAAGGTGTGACCTGAAATGGTGTTGACTGGGCTTCGAGAAGCAAAGCTGGAGAAGAGGAGAAAGATGAAAAAGCATGGAACACTCGTTAAAGTTTCTCCCAAAGACTGAAGGCAAACAGTGCAAACAAGAACAGCCCAAGAAAACAAACTGGGAGTTTACCCCTCACTCCCAACCCCACAACCTGTATAGAGCGCCAATTCAAGTCCTGACTAGTCAGCTTCCTCCTAATGCGCCTGGGAATATAGCGGGCGAGGGGCCGAGTTTTTGGATTCCTTCCACCCATGTGGGAGACCAGATGGAGTTCTTGGCTCTTGGCTTCAGCCTGGTCCAGCCCCAGCTTTGCAGGCATTTGGGGAATGAACCAGCAGGTAGAAGACACTTTCCTGCCTCCCTCACTCCCCCATCTCCAGCTTTTCTCTATCTCGCCTTTCAAAAAAAAACTTAAATAAATAACAAACAAATCTTTTAAAAATCAAATGCAATAGCTCAAGCTAACGGGGAAATACATGAAAGCGTGCTGGAACACTAATGGAAACGAACTGACTCATGGGGGACCTGAGTAGTAAATCCTCTAAAAGCAATGGCATTCATGGCACAGAGTGAATTGAAAGCGCTTCCATTAGAGGAATAAAATGTCACGCAATAAACTCAAACATTTCTTCTTCCCTCAAATCACCACAGTTGAGGCTTTTAGCATTTTTCTGAAAGACATGTGTTACAGGTTGAGTATCCCTTATCTGAAATGCTTGGAATCAGAAGCGTTTCAGATTTCGGAATATCTGAATACATTTTACAATTGAGCATCCCTCATCTGAAAATCCAAAATTTGAAATCCAAAGCTTTTTGAGCTCTAGCAGACGCTCAAAGCGTGTGGATTTCAAAGCTTTCCAGATTAGGGATGCTCATCACTAACAGTTATACATGAATTCCATTATTGAATGGATGGAAGATACTACTGACCTAAAAGTTAATTTTTAATTCATCTTCCAAAGATCTGCAATGTACTAAGAAAACAAACCAAAACCCCAAAATCTTTGGTATTTTACTCTAAATCAGGCTTGTGAAACATTAAAACCAATTTCCTCTGTGCATGCCTTTCCAAAAGTGGAAACGCCACCGAAGTGGCCGGCCCGGAAGGACGTCTACAGTTTAGAAGACTGTGAGCTACATTTGGACTCACATGATGAAGACCCTCCGAGGTACACTGTTCAAGTTTACCTTTCCAGTCTTATCACTGGTAGATGGTTACAATTTTGAATGACATACATAAATTTTAAAGAGGGCATATGGTAAGCATTTAAACTGCAATGTTTAAAACTTGAACTTACAAATGTTAAGTTCAGAAAGTCTCTGACAGGGTCTGAAGTTAGCACAAACAAATGCAACCTCTCTTTACTACTCCACCCCCCGCCCCGCCTTTTGTGACTGGCACTGAGGCCTTCCATTAGCCTGGTTCCCACTAACTCTGCATGTTCAACCAATATTTACCATGTGGTTAAGCATATACATTTACAAACACCCTCTACCACAACTGTAATCACCTCTGTCAAATTAAAAAGCTATGAATAAATGATAAATATCAAAGATAAAAATACACACAAAATGTAGACAGACTGATCTGGGATGAATTAATTGAAAGTAATTACATTCAATAGCAAAAGATTAGAGTTGAGAAGGTTTTGCAACATTTCATTAACATCTTTCCATGTAAACTCTCAGGAAAACAGTATCTAAAACTTAATACTTCCGGCCGGCGCCGTGGCTCAATAGGCTAATCCTCTGCCTTGCGGCGCCAGCACATCGGGTTCTAGTCCCGGTCGGGGCGTCGGATTCTGTCCCGTTGCCCCTCTTCCAGGCCAGCTCTCTGCTATGGCCCGGGAGTGCAGTGGAGGATGGCCCAAGTGCTTGGGCCCTGCACCCCATGGGAGACCAGGATAAGCACCTGGCTCCTGCCTTCGGATCAGCGCGATGCGCTGGTTGCAGCACGCCGGCCGCGGCGGCCAAAAAAAACCTTAATACTTCCTGGTTACCACCACCCTGGCCCCCTGTAGCCTCTTAAGGAAAAGTAAGTTGGAATTTGGGGGACGAGCTTGAAAGGCAAAATAAAATATTTACTGAGTATTTAGCAGTGCTAGGTACTTTTCTATATCAGGCCACTTCAAAAAAGTTTGTGGAGGGCCTGGTGTTTTGGCACAGTGGGTTAAGCCACTGACTGCAACATGGGTACCTTACATATCAGAGCACTGGTTCAAGTCCTGGCTGTTGTTCCACTCCAGATCCAGCTTCCTGCTGATGAACCTCGAAGATAGATGATGGCGCCCAAGTACCTGGGCCCCTGTCACCCAAGTGGGAGACTCAGATGGAGTTCCTGGCTCCCTGGCTTCAGCCTGGCACAGCCCTGGCTGTGGCAGTCCATTTGGGTAGTGAACCAGTGGCTGAAAAGTCTCTTCTTTCCCCTTCTCTCTCTCTCTCTTGCTCTGTCTTTCAAATAAGTAAAAATAAATCTTTAAAAAATAAAAACCAGTTCCGGGCCATCATTGTGGTGCAACATGTTAAGCCCCTGACTCCAATGCCAGCATCCTATACAGGAGCACTGCTTCTAATCCTGGCTGCTCTGCTTCTCATCTAGCTCCCTGCTAATGTGTCTGGAAAAGCAGTGGAGGAGAGTCCAAGTGCCTGGGCCCAGGCTGCCCATGTGGGAGACCCGGTTGGAGTTCTGGGCTCCTGACTTGGGCCTAGTCAGTTCCAGCATTGCAGGCATTTGGGGAGTTAACCAGCAGATGAATGATCTCTGTCTCTCCTTGTCTTTAAAAAAAAAAAAAAAAAAAAAAGTTCATGGAGAAATGGAATTAAAAGATGAGTTTATTTTGGTATAAAAGATTATGAAAGCCATATATAGTTTTTTCACAAGATACATTTTCCACGAACTTTGGAGGTCCCTCATCTACATGTATGAACATGATCACACCATGGGAGCTGACAGAAAATCAGCTTTATCTCTAGTGACAAGACACCTTCTTCATTCATGAAGCCTGCTATTCATGGACAATATGGGCATTTGAGTTTCAATTATTTTTTTTTAATTTATTTGACAGGCAGAGTTATAGACAGTGAGAGAGACAGACAGAGAGAAAGGTCTTCCTTCCGTTGGTTCACCCCCCAAATGGCCGCAACAGCCGGTGCTGTGCCGATCCAAAGCCAGGAGCCAGGTGCTTCTTCCTGGTCTCCCATGCGGGTGCAGGGGCCCAAGCAGTTGGGCCATCCTCCTCTGCCTTCCCAGGCCACAGCAGAGAGCGGGAGTGGAAGAGGAGTAGCCGGGACTAGAACCTGGCACCCATATGGGATGCCAGTGCCACAGGCAGAGGATTAACCAGGTGAGCCACGGCGCCAGCCCTGGAGTTTCAATTCTTTACCAGCAGACAGTTTCATTCTGCCCTGTTCTTCTAGTTCTAAGGATTCTGAAATTC